TAAAATTTTATTAAAAAAATTTATATTTTAAAAAATTTTGCAGGCAAATTTGGCTGCAAAACAATTTAAGGGATAGCTTTTTAGTATAACTATTTTCTAAATATATTCATCTATAGATGTTCTAAGTTCTTTGTATTCTGCAATATTTTACTTCTATATTTGGTTTTTTATTATTTTGCCACTTAAAAAAATTGAATTGGCAACCTTTTAATTTGCAACTTGGGTATATAACTGCTATATTATCAATTACAGGTCAAAATAATATATATTAAAATACTGTATATAATTATTATAGTTTATTATATTAATATATATATATGGGGTGAAGTCAATAGAAATGAGACAAATTTATCTAATAAATTTGTTCCATTTCTATTGACTCCACCCCATATAGTCAAAAAACTCTTTTTAATAATCTCTTGAACTAACTTTTAAAACAAAAAATTTTAACAAAAATAGTAAAACTATATTAGAAAAGAAGGATATAAGACTAACAAAAACCATAAACTAGTACTTATTATTTAGAAATAGTTCTCATATACTATATATCTGCTAAAAGGTTTAGAACTTATTATTTACTATAAGGATAGCACTTGTTATTTAGAAGTAGTTCTTATATGCTACTTGCTAACAAGTTCAGAGTTTATCATTTACCAAAAAGAATATTAGCAGTATGTTTAGATTTACTTGTTTTATTATTTTGAAGAAATATATACTCTCTCTTAAAAAAAGTACAAAGTTTATACTCTTTACTATTACTTACTTGTATCTACAACAAAATTTTTTAAAAAAGTGGACAAAACAGCTTACTCCTATTAAATGATTAGTATTGTTTACTTCTTTCAAATTTGGTCAACTTAGTAAATTGCAACCACATGTTTTGTTTAATAATAAACACATTGCTATATTATACAACAAATCTATTGCCTAATTCATAGTTAAAAATTTATCCGAAATTGATCATATAGTTAAAAAGAAACTAATATATTAAAACAAAGTTTTATAGTAGAAATATACAGATGTTGTATTTGTTATATAATTTTTAAAGCTTGTACAGATTACAATAATACTATTAGATTTTTTTCTTTTGTTGTTTTTTTTTTCAAAATCTGTATTTTATTTTTTTTTTTTAATTTGTTTATTTTCTTTTTTAGTTATTTTTATTAAAAATTTTTTTTTATTTCCCTTTTTGTCTTATACCTTTTAAGAAGAAGAAAAATTAGAAGAGAAATTAGTTCTAATATTTTAGTTCTTTAAAAGCTAATGTTAGATACAAAAAAATAAAACCCCTTTTGAACAAAGTTTATAAAAAAACTTTTTTTAGCTTATTTATAAGCTTTTGTAATAGGTTGTGTCTATATACTGAAATAAGCAACTGAATAAAATTGGGTTTTATATTAGTCTTAAAAGTAAATGTATATAAATTGTATATACTAATAACCAAAAAAATCAAGCTATAGCAATTAAAGAAATAAATAAATAAATATATATATATATATATACAGTCACACCTCTCTAAGTGCACGCCCTGGGGACCAGGCATGGGCGTGCACTTAGAGAGGGTATGCACTTATAGAATTATGGTTGCGAAATAAGAGTTTTGGCCCGAATTAAGCTTAATTTAGGCCGAAATTAGAAATTACACCCTGCGCGTTATTTTGCGACTATTTGGGTAAATAATCAACAAAAGCGAAGTCAAACACATAACCGACAACTTAAATATTTAATCGAGAATTAACTATGAGAATTTTTTTTTTATACGTAATAAAGAATCATTTACCAATCCGATAACATTTCAAGATTCCATCTTTAGAAGACAAGAGCGCGCAAAATAATGCAGGGTTACATTTAATTTTTATTTACTACACTGTAATATAAAGCATTTTCAAATGTAACACTAATTTCCTTACCCATCGCGCCATTTATTACTTTGAACAATGGCCATATAAATTTATTCAAATAAAAAAAAAAATTCAAGTATAGATACCATTCACGAACCAGAAACTTCAAGAACTTACTTTTTTAATCTGTTCGTCAGTAAGTGAAATTTATTTCATGTCAAATTTGGCCAATTAACGCACTACTTACAAGTATTGATTCAAAATGTTAAAATTACCTTTCACTAACTTATCTAATTCGTACCATTACTTATTATTATAGGTATCGATTACATCAATACAAAATTTTAAAAACAAAATCATATCTCATTCTATTTCAATTCTAGTTCAGTTCTGGGTTTGAGTCTAGACTTGAATTAAAGCCTCGTGTCAAGTTTTAAAAAACATACCTGCATCTTATTGTTCATATAAACATCTTGTAAAATGAGAACCTTGTTTATTATCAACTCCTTATAACAACTATTACAAAATAAAAAGGTTGTCTCTAAAAATTCTATAATTATGAAGTGTAGCCTAATAAATCCAACGTCCTTCTTGAAACCTAGCTGATTTAATTGATTTAAATTTTTCTTGTCCGTGGATCAAACTAATATTGTATCAAACTAAATAAAACGCCTGTGCCTTATTTATAAAAACAACATCTGTTAAAACCAAAAAAAAAAAAAAAAAATTAGAAGTTGCCATTCTTTAAATTTATAAATTAAAATTAAAAAACCTTAAATAACTTATCCTATGCTTAATCGACTTTTTTTTTCATTCAAAAAATGCCCAAGAGAACAACCCTTACTGAAGAACAGAAAAATGAACTTTGTACCTATGCTTGTGTTAATAAAAAAAATTGATCACAATATGTTGATTGGATTGAAAACAAGTGGGGTCTTAGAGTCGACGAAAGCACAATTTCACGTATCTTGAAGACATCTGAGGAACAACTTGGCAATGGAATCAGTAATTTTAAAACAAAGCATCACAGAGCTGTTATCTATCCAGAACTTGATCTCGCCCTTAAAGAGTTCGTGCTGATTTATCAGCATCGAACAGTTTTAACTGATGCTTTACTTGTCAAAAAAGCAAAGGTACTTGCTGATAGTTTGGAAATCCCTCAAGGAACACTAAATTTTTCTTCTAGCTGGCTTTATAAATTCAAGAATCGAAATGGTATTCGTCTACAACAGCTTCAAGGAGAAGCCACATCCGCTAACATGGTGGCAATTAACAACATCATGCTATTAATAAAAAATAAATATGCAAGTTACCCTCCTGAAAGGATCTACAATATAGACAAGACCGGGCTTTTCTATCGGTATAAGTCTCTTATTAATATATAAGTTATATGTCTAAATGAGTATTGTCAAGAGAAAACCTGTCATCAGGCTTTCAATTATATTTTTTCCTTGGCAGAACAAATAGAAATAGAAATTTCTTATTCTACTCAATCTCAATATTGACTCTAACCCAACTTCCCTGTTATTAAATTTAAATAAAATTTTCTTATCCATTTAAATTCTGTTTTTACTTTTTTTTTTTTTTTCAATGCAATCCTAAAAAATTTATCTTCAGGTTGGAACCTGATCATATATTGGCAACCCAACATCTTTTTGGACGTAAAAAAAAACAAGGAACGTCTCTCGATTGCATTGTGTGCAAACGTGAATGGCTCTCACAAGATAGATCCTCTTGTAATTGGAAAGTACAAAAAACCGCGCTGCTTTAAAAATATTAGAATTAGTAATTTGCCTATGAAATACAGAAACAGTACTAAAGCCTGGATGATCATATCTTTTTTTCATGAGTGGATTCTTGAATTTGATCGCCAAGTCAGTTTGAAATATCAGGGCTAACGTGTGCTTTTACTCCTTGATAACTGCCCTAGTCATGATATTGGCAGTGTTACTCTCCGATTTACTGAGGTTTTATTTTTGCTCCCAAATACTACCTCGAGGATTCTGCCCATGGACGCCGGTATCATTATGAGTTTCAAGAGGAATTATCGTCGCCTTCATGTTCGGTAATTTTTCAGTAAAAAAAAATAAAAATAAAAATATCCGAATGTTACACTAATTAGCTTTTTTTTTTAAGTTGGATGTTACAAGAAGTTAAAAATAGACAGCGTGCAGAAGATTTAAAAATGAATGTATTACAAGCTATCCATTTTATCATTCAAGGATGGGACAAAGTTAAAGCCAACACAATTCGCAATTGTTGGTATCACACAAAGATTCTTTCTGCAGATGCCAACTCTGATTTACAAAGTTCTTTAGAGGATTTTTGCCAAACCACTAACCCAGTTCTCAATGATATTGCCGATGCACTTAATGCTCTTGACCTTCTTGACTCTATGCAAGTTGAAGAGTATTTGGCAATCTCTGAAGAAAATATCGTTTATGAAGTTCTCTCCAATGATCAAGTTATTACAGAGCTTGTTAAAACATTCAGAACAAATGAACCAACAAACATTAACTTGAAAGATGAAGACGATAGCTTTGAAGCCCCTATTGTTAGTACCAACACGGCAATTGCAAGTTTGAAAACCATGCGTATGTTTTTGCTTCAGCAGGATTGTACGGAAGAATATGTTAATTTTGTGAGAAGGATTGAAAAATTTATCAAAAAGACAAAGGTTGGCCAAATACAACAAAGCAGGATTGATCAATTTTTTATGGAAGACAATTAAACAGATCATATTAAATGTTTCATATAATGTTCTAGAATTTTTTTTTTTTCGCTTGTTATAAAAAAAAAAAAAATTCTAATTTTATAAATTTCAATTTTTTTTTTACGCTTGTAATATAGTGAATAAAAATTTGGATACTGTATCGGGTATGTACTATATGTACGTACATGCGTACAGTACAATTACAAAATGACTTCATATTTTGCATTAAATAAAATTTTAATTTTATAAAGTCGTTTTACATTCTGTACGAAATAATTTTTAGTAAGAGCAAATGACACATGACACCTATCTCTTAATAAAAGACAAACAAAATTAAGTCGAAACCACAAACACACTTAAAAATGACAAAAATGTCAATTAACTAGTCACATTAAACTGATAACTGTGTACAAAAAATCACCATTTAATGATGGCCTTTCTATATAAAAAACTCTTTTTATTGGTCCGTTTTAAGATTATTCACGTGCGTGCATTTATAGGGGTGTATATATATGCTTCGAGCTCTGAAATTTGTTGCAGTGCAGAATATAGAAGGCGCTTAAGTCCCGAGCTTGGGGCCGGGCTATGGTATGCATATAGAGAGGGTGTGCACTTAGAGAGTATGCACTTAGGGGGGTTTGACTGTATATAGTTATATAAAATTTAGTTTTATATATATATATTTGATATTTATTTAAATTTAAAACTATAAATAACTATATATTTTGTATCAAAAGTGTCTAATATTTTTATATATAGAATAGTTTTTTAATTTTGTTTATTTATATATACAGTATATTGTAAAAAAAACAGTAATAAAATATTACATAATAATAATATAGATATTTTATTTAAATTATATAAAACTTTTAATATTAATAGTATCCAACTAGATATTTATTTATTAATTGATAATCCGCCAGTCAACAGAAGAATAAACATAGTGTAACATGATGCAAATCACTATGTAAATCCAATA